TCTGTGTAGCCAATGCTAGTTTTTTAGGAAAATTATTGATAATTAAGTGACATAATTAAATCATCTTTTTTATTTTATTAAATATTCAAAGATATCCATTAACACATACAAACATTCGTTTAACAAAAGCATACAATATCGTACAGTAAAAAAAAAATAATTATTCATTATTGTAAAAAAATGATTTATTACCGAATGCTAACACTCCGATTATATATTTATTTATGAAAAGATTTTCGATATTATTCTTCATTAGCATTTTTTAAAATTCTATTGATCAAAGGTTCTTTTGTATCAAGAGGTATATATACACGAAGAAAAAAAATTTGCTGGCATAGCACTTTGTGCATAGCATTTTATGCTGTCATTGTGAATTTTATCAGTTATTACATGGACAACAAAAAGGTCTGTTAAGAATATTAATTTTATTTACTGAAAATGATTTTGCCGAATTTGCAAATTGTCTTACATAAAGAAAAAATTTCGTGTTTCTCGATTGTGAAGCAATAAAGATTCTTTAATTGTAGAATGTAATTTATTTTGCTAATGTTTTCTTGTAAATAATAAAACTAAATAAATTCCGTTGTAATACATAATTTTAAGTAAGAATATATCGTCGTATATAAAACATTTGTACATTATAAATAAATTGTACATTATTAGAGATAATATTTTAATTTTGACATGACCATGGCGTGCAATATGGTCTCAAGTGCTATGCAGTCTCAAAAGTGGGCTGCTCTTGGCTATCCGTGTGCATCATGGAATCCGGCTACCTGGTGAAAGTACCACTACCTTCGCGGATTCTCTATGCGCATCCAAGCGAGTATGTGTATCTGTGCTAAGCATGAGGTGGGACGCTATCGGAATAATGCGAATGGAGTGTCAATGCACTCTATTGTGTCATCCGCCACTAACTGTGAGATAATGTATCGTATAGTTACCGGTCGTCTACCCGAAAATCAGCAGTACATATTCGAACGATATAATCTATTATAATGTGACATTAAATGTCGTTAAATATCGTGATTGTGAAATATATTGGTATATTTTGGTATACTAAAAGGAAATAGTAAAATATATTAGTAAGCATTAATATCAAATAAAATAAGATAATAGTAATAACTTTTTTTAATTTCTTCTTATCATATTTTTATTAAAGATAAAATTTAAGAATGATAAATTCATATTATTTTCAATTTTGAAAAGATATCTTGATGTTGAATTAGAACAGTGATATATAAATGATAATTCTTAATTACATAATTTTGTCATATAAATTCTATTAATAAATTTCTAAGCAGCATACAACTGGTAAGACTCGATCATATGAATATTTGTATAATTGTTAATTAAGCATGACGATGTAATAAAACAATATTTGGTTATGTATAATTTGTATTTGTATTTTTTGTATTTATATGGAATGAGATATTTATGAAAATCGTATTGTTATAATCATATTTTTTTAAATAAAAAAGAATGCTTGTCATTTAACTTTTAATAAATTAAAAATATTATACGTTGTGATTAGTAAGAACAGAAAATGCTATCCACGTAATACGTAAACGCATTTGACGTAATCCATTGTAAACAAAAAAATCGTGATAAGAGAAATGGACATTACAGCCCGCATAATTTTAAAATGTTCAATGATGATGAATTTTATGATGTTCAAATTTACAAATGATGGGAATGTATAAAAGATGGCTATTTACTAACAAATAAATTAAAATAAACACAAAATGTTCCAAAAATGAACTTCCCGCTTTTTTATTAAATCTGAAGATTGATTTTACGAACAATTTCAATTTGAATCCTTTGATTGAAAAGGTATATTAGAAGAAAAGGCTAAGATAATGATGATAAATGAGATAAAATTAGAATATTTAGAACGAAATATCGAGTATTTAGAACGAACATCTGTTTTTCAAATATTAAAAAAAATTTTTTAAGTGACCTTGAATTTGACATCAATCTTATTGACCTTGACCGTCATAATCAATGATCTTCGCAAGATCCTTTTGATTTTAAGTGAGACATTATGAGAGCTTTTATAAAAAATTATTACGCAGCGATAATAAAAATCGATTAGCAATGTTTTTCTCGTTTTATCTTTAGAATTATTAAAAAAACATATTAATAATAAGCAATTTACAAATTATTTATTATTTATTAATCGTAATGTGGATTTAACAATTAATAAACGAGAAAAAACCCATTCAAATCATAAACTTTCAAAAATATTATATAAATGATAATTTTCTCTAACGTATGATTTTATTTAAATAACTGACAATTAAATACAATGATAATGCATTTCTAATGAAATGAAAGCATTGAAATTTGACATTTACTTTCATTTTTATTCCTAATGTTATACTCGAATAACTCGCAATAATTTCATCAACAGTATATTCGAAAGAGCATGTCAAGCGCAACGCGAGATTTACTAAAGTAAGACGAAGAGAAGAGAGTGCGAGATATTTCTCTCAAGCGTATTTCTTTCAAGCGAGTATTCCCGGTTAATTTTACCGAGCCCTAAGGAGCGCGTGCGAAGGATCGACGAAGGATAATGCTAGCGGGGCTCATCGGTTGGACGTTGGCTTGAAGCGGACGAAGGACGCCCGCATTCCACGCCACAACCTGGTATAATGCGAAGAATTGGTCGTACAGAAGGAGGAAGTGAGAGATAAAATGAAACGTGAATAGCAGTGAAGAGAGAAGGATAAAAGAGAAAGATAAGAGAGAAAGAGGAGGCAGAAAGGAAAAGAGAGAGGGGATAAGAGAGAAGAACGAGAGAGAGAGAGAGAGGAAGTGAGATTAAAAAAAAAGAAGTTAAAGAAAGATGGAAGTCAGAGTGGAAGAAAGAGGTCGCAAAAAAAAAAGAGAAATGGAGAAGTTTTGAGAGGAAGAAGGAGAAAGGTGAAACTGGAAACAGCTGTGCGAAGAATTATCTATGTCTATCCTTTTCTTCTTCTTCTTTAACTATTTTTCCTTCTATTCATTCTGTATCTTCTTTTACACCTATCTCTCTTTCTCTTTTCTTCTTATCTTTTTCTCGCTCTTCCTCCTTTTCTTTATGTCTTTCCGTTCATCCGACTTTTCTTTACAACCTCCATTCAATGATAAAAATTAGAATTTTTTTTTGAAAATTTTCAAATAATTTAATTGTAAAAAAATTTGAATTTTTTTTAAATATTACACAACATCAAAAATTTGTTAAAATTTTAAGTAATTTTTTAAGTAATTTGAAAGGTTTGAATGAAACTTTTGAACATCTAGGAAATATTTCCTAGAATGTGTTCCTCCCTGTGTTTATCTAAAACTTTTACATTGCTTTGAAATTATTATTTATAACTATCTGTCTAAACTCTGAAATAAAAATTAAAGTAATAATATCAAGTAAAAGAAATGAATATATATTTTTGAAATATAATATTTAAAACACTTTCAACGTTATCAGAAATCTTTCGATTTAAAATAATTCGAAATTTTGAAAATTTGTTATATATATTCGAACAATCGTATCATGTATTCGATGTCTTGAAGTCCATCACTATTTCCCTTCCTCTTCCCATACTGCGACCACACGCTTCCGACAAAGTAAACCAGTATGCGCGTTATTTTGCAAGTATCTCGCAGTGTATTGTATATAACAGAGTGCATGCTCGGGCATAATTGGGATTCCTCCTTTCGCGAAGTTGGCTGCTGCTAGCTGCAACTGTTGCAGCCATCGTGGATCGGAGTAGGTTATCGTCGATGGCTTTCACTGGCGCGTAAGCAATGACAAGGAAAATGGATAAAATAGAAGATTGTTTTGATCATGATTCTCTACGGCTTTGCATAATATAGGGTGATCCATTAATGATTATACAAATGTTACAAAAGAGCGGGAAAGTGAAATTACGTGAAAGGATAAGACGGAAATATAAAGTAATTTTGATAACTCGTGACTATCTTGCCCAAACATTTTGTTGTTCAATTCCATTAGCAAATATCAAAATGCAAATTAAAAAGTTCAGTATTTTATTGAAGAAGATTATTAATATTGTTGGAAAAATTTTTCGTATAATATCCAGATTTTTTGTAACTTTAAATAATGATTATCAGTTTATAAAAAAGTAGAATAAAATGATAAAAAAGAGTAGATACTTTGTCTACAAAATCTAAAATTTTGATTAAAGGATAAATCTTTTTTTATTGAGAATTATATATTGTTTGTAATTATTGGTATTGATGATATTAATATAATTAAAATTGAATAAGAAAATACGAAAAATTTGAACATAAGATAAGTAACATGATATTGATGATTTAAAAATATAATTTGATGATTATATATAAAATATATGAATATATAAAAAATATCATGAATATGATATATTTGAGATATGAATATTTCAATGAATGACAAAATTCATGAATATATAAAATATATATATTGATTATTAATCTAGAGAGATTCTTTGTAAGTAAAGCTATTGAATCTTTTAAGCAGCGAAGCATGCGGGACGAGACAAGATAGGGTAGGGCAGAACAGGTAGGGCAGGGCACAGGTAATATGGCTTCGTATTTTCGTAGCTGTCCAACTAAGCAGAGGAATATCCTGATGAGATTATAATGTGAATATAATGACAAGCTCCCGAGCTCCCGAGCTACGCGTCCCATGCGGATCCACTCTTTCGATTTCGTCTCGACCGCGCGCGATGACTATGCGCTTAATCCATAACGTATAGTCTGCTCTTCTCAAGGCTTGAATCAATCCCTGCAAAGGGGCCAATATAAACGAAGGAATAAAATGACGACGAGTTCTCTAAGGCGATCATATTGTCTAAACTATCGCGCGCGTTGTTCTCGAGAGCACCGCTAGTGCTGCGATTACATTCCTTCTTCTTCCATCCCTTTCTCTTGGAGCCAATTAAGAAAATTACAACTATTTGCCACTAAAGCATTATTACAATCAAGATTTACAACTAATTTTCGCATGTATATTGCAGGTGGATTCGTGATATCGTAGGTGGAAGACGAAGGAATCTAGGTAAGTTCTCCTCTTTTTTTAAATTAATGTTTTTTAATTGATAATAATTTTTCTTTTTGTTATATAATATTATTTAATTACAAAAGTATTTTTTGAATTTATTCTGTCAAAATATATCATTTCCGAATTTATCATTTACTGCTTAACTTAAATAAAATGGCTCGATAATGAATCACTCAATGAATCATACAAATGCGATAGGATTCTTTTATAATGTTGTTAAATTATTCTCTCTTTGATTTTCTTCTTAAATACATTTTATTCTATGTACATTTGAACAAAGGATATGCTAACAAAGAGTATGAATTTTTACTTGTAATTATTGCGATGAGAGTACTTGTATTGTTTTGTTATGAGAGAAAAAGAGCTCTGCGAAAACATGAGTATATATATATATATATATATATATTCGTGGCACTTTGATATAAAATTGTATCTATTGTGTATTGAAACTTTGATATTGATATGAGCAATCATCATCATCATCAATAATTTCAAATGGCAAACATAGCTAGGATCAATAGATTAGATAAATCATCAAGTTATTTTCTCATGTTGTTATGTATCAATAACGAATTCCTCAACTTATTATCTACATTATTGTTTTTATTTGAACAATTTTTATGTGCGTCGAAAGAAAGATTTTTATACGAAGAATGCACATTATAATGAGCAACTTGTGACTATGGTACCGCAACTCGGTAATTCTACTTAATTGCCGCGAACGTTAGAGGAGTCATATCCGCATATATTACAGTTATGCACAATAATGTCATAAACTATGTATTATATGTATAAGTTTTTTCATATATGTGTGTGTGTGCGTGCGTGCGTGCGTGCGTGCGCGCGCGCGCGCGCGCGCGCGCGCGTGTGTGTGTGTGTGTATGTATATGTGTTTATTATATATAGATAGAATATTATCATATCCTTGTAAAATTGAGTGTTGTTTTTTTGAAAAAAATTCTCACAAATGCATACGAAATTTTTAAATTTTTTAATATGCCATTACGATGTATTTGTTATCTCTTCTTTAGATAAAAATGTTGACAATAATAATTTTTCATGACAACTCCAAGACATTGATTTTAAATCATATCAGTTTGCTAAGGATAAGCATAATATGATTGGGATAACTTCAACTTATGGCTGTTTATTTACTTTTTCTAACTAAATACATATAGTTTTGATTGATAAATAAATAGTTTTATGTTGAGACAGAATTATGTCACAAGCATATCTAAAGATTTAGTTCAGATAAAATATAAAATCATCAGCTTCATCATAAAAACAATCAGCTTCATAATTAGCTTCAAATTCGATATCTTTAACCGTAACTTTAGTGACATTTTTTAATACTGAATCTATTGTATATTTATGTTTTCCTTGATAATTCTATTTGGTTTATATTTGATTTATGGACTTTCGTGACCTAAATTTTGGACAACTTAAGTACCATCTTATTTGTCAAAATAAAGCACAAATTTACTAAATATTATACTTATCATTGTATAAGATTTGATCATGAAACAATAATTTACAATTTAATATTAAAACATTTCAATATTAATATTAAGATACTTTGATATTAATATTAAGATACTTATATTGAGTTGCTTTCCTGGATAATCCAGAGTTGCTTTTATATTTATAACTCATCTCAAGAATATATGCAACAAAACACAAACATTGATAGTTGTTTCAAAATACTTGCGTAACGTTACTTTGACAAACGTGATTACAACTTGACTACACAGATTGATTTTAATTTAAATCAAGAAGTAAAAATGAGCAATGTATTCCTACAAGAAATGCACAAAACCGGTAGCCATTTCGCGCCCGACAACTTCAACGACATCTTTATTTTCTCATTCCCGTTGTTCGTCCGATTGCACAGAGCTTTCTTTCGTTGATTATAAAGGAAGATATTTTCACGCTGCTACGTGCTAAGTGCAGCTTATTGCGACAATTTTACGAGTATCAATGAAAAAAAAAGGAAAATGTGGAAAAGAAGTTATAAAATCTTTTTCTCTGATCTTTAGAATTTTTCGTAAGCAGTAATCGAAAATTTCTTAATTTACTGCGCAGTGTCATCTGCTGCGTCATCTATGCAGATATATGTACATTGTGCTATCTTCGAATTACTTATAGTACGTTATCTGCAAAAAGAATTTTTACAATTCCCTCTTTGTCTGACATAGATTTTCAAAATTTGTTATTTTGGTGGGTATGTTATTTTGGTATTATTTCCTTACGTAAGAACTGCATGACGCAGGTCATTGCTTGCGTTTGCTCTGTGTGTCACCGTATGGCGCGCGCGCGCTCACACCAGTCTGGCGGCATTCCATCGTGATTTGCGAACGTTTCGGTAAAGTGTACAGTGGTGTACAGCGCGCAGTTTGTAGTTCGTATAGTGTTTATGTCTGTACGTCGCGAGCACGAGACTCCCAGCTGGCATTTTCACGCAGTGTGAAATGGCCCAAATCTGATCATTTTCATCGAGAAAAATGTTTAATCTTGATTATACAGGGAAATATTGGAATTGGCATAAATAATTGTATAATTGTCTAATCTATAATTGTTATGCAGTTATTATCTATTTTCGAATTCCATGAAAATGCATAAATACTTTTAAAATAATATGATATACAGAATATCTTAAAACTATGGTCTCAAGAAAAAAAAAAATAGATAATTTTGTATAAAAGAAAAAAATCGGAAATTTGAAATGAAAAACTTTTTATTTTTCAATTTATTTGTTAGATTAAAACTAAATAAAATATATAACAAATTTACGCATTTAAATTATTGATCAAGAATTTTTGTATTTCTGTATCATTTTGATGTTATTTCAATTGGACCTTACAAGAAGAAAGTTCAAAATTTCTTGATACGTACATATTTACTGTGTAAATATATACATACGTATATATATTTTTATAACACATATTAATTACCTATTTCTATGTTATGACATGGATATTTAATGAAATTTATTACACACGAGATATAAATACTTAGGTAATATAAATAGAAACGCAAATTTATTTAAATTCTTTTTTTTTTAATTATTTATAAGAACGAGGTTATATATATTCTCAATATTCATTAAATTTTATTATATTATAATATTCATTTGCTTCTTTTCTTTTTTATTTTCGACTTGCCACAATCGGACTTAGCAAATTTAAATCGATTTCAATAGAACTTTCCTTAAAAATCCATCTTGTGATCCAACTGATGATCCATCCTGTGATTATAGCAACGAGAAATCCCAGTGGACAGTACCACATATAAGATATGCGATAAAGATAGAAATAGGATTTATCTTTCTCCATTCTGTAAATAAGAAATAGTTAAAGTTCATGTTTCTTCATCATTGCGAATATATTGCAATATTAAGATATAACATCAAAAAACTTGAAATTAAAAGGAATTTTTTTCTTTATATTACATATCTCGAAACAAGTTATATTTTCATGTTGTTAATTATTTTTCTAACTGAAGCTTCTACCAAACTTAGAATTGAAGTCTGAATTATATATAAAATTACATCTACACTGAAAAAAATATTAAATTTTAATATTTGTTTTAAATATAATTTGTTTTGAATAGTTTTAAATAAATATTTACTAAATGTAAATATATATTTATTTGATTCAAAAACCATTAATTTGATTTAACTATCATTTTTTTTATTAAATAAACATTTATTTACCATAAATACTGTTCAAAGAAATATGTATTAAGATTAAAAAAATCTTAAATAAGTAATTTTTTTTCAGTATACTTAAATGTTTACTTACTGGAGTTTATAACGTGAATTTGTGTAAATCAACGATTTCCCATCGCTTCCGCGAAACATAATAGTGTTATTGAATCCACAATCGTCTGTTGAGACATTCAACTGCGGAATCGGCGGTTTCGGTTGTCCAAATCCTATCCACAAAGAAAACATGAGACTAAGAATGAAGCCTGCAATCGCGCCCCTTTGGTTGCACGATGGGAAAAACATGCCAAGCGTGTATAAACCCAACATAGGTCCACCTACGACACCAAAGATCGTCAGAGCTGCCTGTAGAAAAATAAATTTTGTTGAAAAAGAAATTCTAACGATTAAGGTATCTTCAGATTATCTAATTTCATATTATATTAAAAGATTACCTATCTGAAACCCGCAAATTAATTTAACAAGGGAAGTTACTCAGATGTCCAGTTTTGAAAAAGTAATGATTAGAAGTTGTAGTATCCTATCTTCTATTAATTAAAATGAGTGCCATTTGCTCGGAAAATTTGATATTTGTTAGAGGAATGGATTCAAAGTCCGCTATAAGCGACTCCGAAAATAAGTTTAAATGATATTTTTCATAATTTTTTTTACTTTTTGATTTTCTACATACAAAATATACGTAACGTACGTGAGTAATATACATAAGTGGAATAGAAAGGAAAACTTGGATCTCGATTCCAGTGATAGTTATTGAAAATTTTTTTATTTATCCTCCCAAAATTTGAATTATGTTTGGGTATGAACACTTATAAAGTTATATGAATGTATGTACAAAAATACATATATTTTCTTATTTATTATACATTTTCATTGGTGTATTATTATACATTTTCAACAAATTGAAATTTGAAAAATTAAAAATATTTTATTGTAAATTTTGCTATACTATTGGATTGGGGAAAAAGTTTCTTCCTTTTTTTTTAATTCAAAATTGTATACAATATCTTTGTCAAAAATGAACGAAATTTAAATTTAAAAAAAGAGTTTTAAAGCTTGAAGAGAAATCTCTACTTTCGAAAAGTTATATTTTAACTATATTTTTTGAGTTTCTGTGAGTTTGGTAATTTTTACATTTAATAAACGAGCTGAAAAAGTTTCTTTTCACTTTGGAGGTTTCTCACGTGCCCCAAAAAAATTTACGAAAATTTTCGACTACCTATTGTGAAAGCTTGAAGCTTTCCTTACAAAATCATTTTTTAAAAATGTTTCTATA